CCTAAAAAATCCCCGAGAAACGATTTTCATTTAGATTATTTTGAATTTTGCAATATCGGGCAGCCATATTGGATTCGCCATTTTGAATTTTGGAATTTAAATTTCAGATTCGTAACCATGGCGACTCAAAAGCAATAAAATACTGTCGGAACTATTTTTTACATAAATATTAGAGCAATGAAAACACAATAGTGTCAAACATTCCCAAAGGATAGGCACAACTTTAACCCCCTATATTTCGCAAACCAGTCATATGCTCAATTCAAAAATTTTATGCGATTATTGTCTCATCATGACTAATTATTTGGCATAAAATTTGGTTAAAAAATCGAGGTCCAGAAAAGGGGCGATTTTTGGTCTGACTCTTTATTTAAGTAGACTGAGTTCACAAATAATTTCAAGAAACAAAACTTTCTTATCGTTGAGATTTATAGACATACCAGAAAAATTGAATGTTCTGTACCGTGATATATTTTACTGCGATAAATTTTTTCACTCTCAAAGTTTCTCTCTACACAGATCTTGACATTCGAAAAAATAACAGATTACATAACTCCGGTATATATTTACGCCGCACTTATTAAAAGCTTAATTTATCAAATTCTATCTATTATATTTAAGATAAATGAACTATACCAGTAAAAATTTTATACTGTTTACTACTATATAAAAAAACTAGGAATCCGAAATATTAATTTTTTATATTTATTTATTTTTATATTTATTTATTTTTATTTTTATATTATTTTTTATTAAGAAAATTTTTCTCTAAACCCTTGCATTTTTGCCGTATATCCTATAAGGATGGGTTATATGATTACTCACGGGTGAAATAAGTAACTCAAAAAATATACAAATAATCAAAATAATAACAATAAATAACATGTGAATTAACAACGTAATTTGCATTTACTTATTAATAAATAAGTAAAGAATGTATTATCACAGATTATGAATTAGTACCTATATAAATTTATTTATTTATAAATAAATAATAGAGCGTTTGTATTACGGTATAAATCCCACGCGCTAAAAATGACGTATATCCCGAATAGATGGGATGTACGAAACAATAAACTAAACAAAGAATACAAGAGCTAAGCACTTGTATTCTGCTATACTTTATACTTTACTATTTCTCTACATTTATGTACCACAAAATAACCACGAAGCTTTTTACATTTCGTACAATAATTATTTTATGTAGATTATAACTTATAGTTGCGCTATTTACTATAGTGACAAATTGATTTAACTTAATCGATTTAACAATAATTTTATAAATATTAATAATAAAAAACTGAAATTACAACACAATACTAATATAGCATAAAGGCATGTATGTAACAGAGAGGTTGCGAGAAAATTACTTTTACATCTTTTATTTTTTTTTACTTCTGCGACGTAAATGCTTGCGCGGCGTATGTACCGGAATTATCTTATAATAAATTTATATTAGTCAGGAAACATTATTCTGATAAAAATTTTACGATAAAGAGTTTGCTCTAAAACAAGACCAAAAGATTTGCTTTCAACGATGTAACTATTATAGATTCACAGCATATAAAATTGAGTTCAAACCTTCTAAATAATAAATTATAAGTTTCTTCAAATAAAAACAATTAGTTAACGAAAGGCACTAAGAGTCAATACGCGGAAAACGTTGCGTTAAAACTTCTAATAAAGTTGTATTCCATATATAAATCAAATTACATCTTCTTACATTTGTCGTACGTTTCGGTCCACTTCACACCTTCTTCAGCGATAAATAGTTCCGCCAAAATTATAATATTCAATTCTTAATTGTCAAACCATGTTCCGCAACGTATGAGGTGGGCCTTCAGTTCCAAAATTGAATGCAAGAATCATCATTACAAAACAAGTCAATATCGATGTAATACTAGCACTCACAATAGTTAAATGCTCAGAGAGTCGCGTGCTGCTACATCCGTGGTCTAAAAAATTCTAAAGGTGATCACAGATGTGTAACACGCGACTCTGCGCATTTTCCTATTTAAAAAAAGACATGACATCAATACTCGCATCTCTCGAAGTTTTGTTGCCTCTTCAGTTACTGATAATGCAGTTGACGCTCAGTTTTAATGATCAGTTTCTACATCACTTTAAAAAAACTAATTAGACACTGAATGCTATCATTAAGTAACTGATGACTAATCCTCAGTTTTTCACTAGTTATCGATTACTGGTTATATTCTTCAGTTGACAGTCAGTTTTTAAATATCAGTTTTTTAATACTAAAAGAAAATGTATTAATCAGTTTATTACAATCAGTTGTTGATGATAAGTTCTCAGATTTTCATCAGTTTTTTATATACTGGTTATGTTCTTTAGTTAATATCCAGTTTTTAGGTATCAGTTTTTTAATAATACAAGAAAATTTGTTAATCAGTTATTATTATTATCAATTTTTGATAAGTTCTTCATCAGTTTTTTATATACTGGTTACGTTTTTCAATTATATTTAAGTTTTTAAGCATCAGTTTTTTAACAATACAAAAAAACTTGTTAACCAGTTACTATCATTTATAGTTGTCGATGATAAGTTCTCAATTCTTTGATTAACCAATTTGTCGTTATGTTATTGAATATATTGTAGAAAAAACGCGGTTTAAAGGAAGTTTATGACAATTAATAATAGAAATAATTGGCTCTTTAAATTTTAACTATATAGTCGATCATTATTATAAAAACAATAATAATAAAAAATAATAATGTAATATATGTATATTGTTAAGAATTATATTATACGGAACGTTGAAAATAAAGGATAACATGGGAAAAATTAAGAACGTTTATTAAATTATTTATATGATTTATATTTATTTCTTTACATTTTGTTACGCAGATAAAATATGTTATATATATTAATAAAAAATTTTATTAATCCTTCTCAATATTATTGACTAGTGGTACAATACAAACACCATTGCGATATGGAACAGATACACACTTCTGAGCTATATGGCTGGTCAGACCACAAACAGTGCGTTCACTTTTCTGACACACTAATGCCAGTTCATTTGAAAAAATATTTGGTCTCGATCCTCACTAAGATTTTCATCAAGTATATCAAACGCTTTTCCTAACACAACACAAACTTCTTTATGGGATTCAACTATTTCTACAACAAGAATATGTGTAATAGAAAAAATACGATCATCTTTCCTTTTTACAGTACTGTTATCTCTGACTTTAAAAGCATTATAGCAGCTTGCATAATACATTGTTCCTTGAAAAATCAATCTTCTGAATGACTGTGCAAATAATTGAATATTATTTTGAATAATTTGTTGAATGGAAACTTTTTCAATTAAAAGAAAGTTTGTAATAATTTTCAGGCGCTCCAAATAATATATCTTAAACCAACATCAAAATTTTGAGAAAATTAATTTGAACAATACTTAGACATCAAGAAATCAAATATCTTTTTCCCTTCATGAGACGTTTCAGGATGTAAAAAAATTTTAGATCCAAAGTCTAAAATATAACGCAGAGAATGTTCGACATACTTGTTGTGGCACATTACGCGTTCCAATTATTAATCTATTTAATACACCATTAAAATGTTCATATGGAAAAGTAGAGGATGCCCAAAGTCCCCCGAAATTTTCAATTGCACGAGGTATATAAAGGAGAAGGTGAACATTAAACGTATACAAATATTCACAACGTGGATAAAGTATTGCAATTTCTTTTACAAATTTGTTTAAAGCCCTTCATAGCTTCCTCTTGTGTAAACTTTTCTCTCAAATATATTGACATACCATATATCAGAAGAAACCAATGTTTAAGATATTTTGTAGGGAAAAGTCCTTTAAGAGAAGATAAAGAATAATACAAAAGAAACTGTCGAAGTTCTGATGCTTTCATTAATTTTAATTCATCAAGACCACGAAGTGGCCTTGTTATTTCTACAGGAAGTAAAATGGATAGTAATCTTTTCGTCAAAATAGTACGCTTATGTTTATTCAGATACCATTCAACTCCTTTATGAGTACTATTAGTCCAGTGTTTAAGAAAAGTTAGAACAACACCCTCTAAAACACTATGCATATAGTCTGGCACAAAAGAGGATATAATATTAAAAACTGATAGTGTAAGCAATATTGATGGAAATTTTACTCCATCAACATGTTTTTGCCTATTACCATTCTGTTGATTGGCTTGTTCCAACTGCCGAAGAGCATTAAGATATTGAGGCAATGTGCGTGATTTACTTTTCTCTCCAATATAAACTCGTACATTGTCTTTATCTCTAGCAATACTTATTCCTTGATGCAAACAAAATGAGCAACCATAAGTACCATTAAATTGTTAAATGAAGTATTGGACGTACAACAGAATCAACTAAAGCTAGTAGAGTGTGTACTTTTACATTTAATAAATTATTTAGACCGTTTAACTTACAAGCCAAATCTTCAGAAGGAAATTTAGTTCTTCTACAAAGGATTTTAGAAAAGAATTAATATAAGGCTTCTTCTTACCAAAATACAACCCACACAAAATCATATTATCTCTACGTGCACGGTAAGGTAACTCATTAATACATGCTTGAATGGGCCACATTGACATTTTGGCAGATTTAAAGGAACTAATACCATCTGTATTCCATTGCAAAGTTATGTCATTATCACCGATCGTACCTGAAGCTCTAAGATTTCTATAAATTTTCCCCGAAATTACATCTTTTTCTTCACAATTTTTTCTCATAAGGCAAAAAAGTGTATCATTTTTCATGATGTTCTTTATCTGTTTCTTGATTGACAATTATACAAAGTAGTTACCATTCTCTTTAAGTTGATTTCTGTCGAACTTTTGATTACAATGCTCACATTCCATTTGCTGAATATCCATAGGCAAAAATTCAGAACAATTGGGACAAATATAATGTATTATAATTTCATTAGGTACAGGAAATTTTTTCAAAAATAAATATTTAGATTCCATGACGGAACAAGGTAAATGGCAATTTATTAATTGCAACAAATGATCAATACTTTTGTCCTCTAAACCTCATCTGATAATAAAGCTCATTATGAGAGCTGCACTTTCATTAGTAGTTAAACGACAACCTTCATAAAGAGGAGGATCTCGTTCATCCTATAACAAATAATATTTTACATATCTTATTATAATTAATATATTAAATTACTATTTACATAAATAAAATAAGATGCCTAATAAAAAACACTAGCAATAGATTAAATTACAATATATGTGATAACAATAATTTCATTATTTTTATGTACCTGTCTTTGCGGAATATTCTCATGATTCTCACATGATTCATCTGCATTGATGAAATGTACTTCCTCTTCTTCATCGTTTCTCAAATTTCTATTATTCATCAAACTGCTATTGCTTAAGTTAAAGCTGTTTTCATCATCTGATGGAAAACTCATCAGAGATGAGTTCTAAAGAAATGAAAGAAATTTGTTTTTATAAGTATTATGCATATCATGAAGTATATATACATAAATGAAAGATACATAATAATACATAAATTATACATGTTATGATACAGATACATAAGAGATAAAAATGTTACTAACAAAATTATTCATGAAAATATGAAAATGATCTAGAAAATATTTAGTCCTTACATCATTATTACATTCAAACATTTCAACATCGTTTTCTTGTAGACTCTGCACATTCCTATCTGACAATGAGTCACAATCATCAGTGGATTTTACCTATCAAAAAATTTTATGTAAAGTAATGTGTATTTCGTATATATATATATATATATATAT